TCGTCGTCATCCTGGAAGGAATCGTTGAAAGCACGGGCATGACAGCTCAGGCGCTGACTTCTTATGTGCCGTCGGAAATCCGATGGGGTCACAGGTGAGGATTTATGATTTAGCAGAAAGGCTCTGAAGCTCAGCGATTTCAGATTCGAGAAATTGGTAACGTTCCAGAAACAAAACGGTGACTATCAGATCGACTGGAGTTATTTTCACAGGACATATGCAGTTCGAACGCCATTATGTTCTGCTAAGGAACTTTCAGAGTACAAAGTGAGTAACTCGCATCCAGATCATGGTGATTACCATCTATCTGCCCTGGTCTGCTGCACATTCGAACCTGAATGCAGCGTCTGTACAGAAACTGTCATTTTTGGCGGTCTTCTGACACTAAAATGATAAGTTAGTTTAGGCAGTCATAACCAGTTAGGTAAATGGTTAACCTTCTTTGGTCATTTGCTTGGCTTACTTCGTCGAACGTCGATATTAGCTTGATGCAGTGCGCTAGTAGTGTGAGTCTGAAAGTCGATAGTTCATGACTGACGCATAACAGCGAAGCTTTCGTTGCCTTAATTTTAGCCATGAGGTACGCTATGAGGCATTTTAATGACTTGTCGGAGGTAAGTATGAAAAGATCGCCATCCTTCGGTTTGAGCAGACATCTACCTAATTTCAGGGCTATTGCTCCTGCAGAACCCGATAATTAGTATCTGTTTGGTGTGCCTAATACTTGTAAAGGACATTTGTTTCATTAACACCCGCATGTCACCGTTTGCAAGGGTGACGCTTCGTGGGAACATATTGCGATGCCTTAATCTTAATAATGAATAAACAACAAGTTCAATTTTATTCGCTTATATTACACAATGGGTATCAGCTGCTGCGGACACGTGCTAAGCGGAATGTTGTACACGGACAGCATGGAGTCAGTAGGCAACCAGAATTAAGGGCGATTATGTGACTGATTTCAATCTTAGCTGGATGGCAATGAAATGCTTCTGCTCGATGGGATTCGATGGCAGAAGTACCGGTGATACAGCTCGATTAAGCTAGGATTGCTCTGAAGCCGCTCATGATGACCGAATATATGGTGCAGGCCTTATGAAATGGTCCATTGCAGAAGTGATTAAAAACCTCTGAAATTGATAATGCGCAATACAGAAATAGATTTGATTGATTATGACGAGTACAGGAAAAAAAATTGGTAGCCTGAGGGCCATGCCAGACGGCATCTTCATAAAACGGCGAATTTCCTCCGCGCTTTAAAGTCGAAGGAGGAATAAACAACACAGATCGCTGTCCCATGAAAGCGATCTGGACAAGGTTCTACAACAGCCTCTACTCCTCGACGATAGACGCAAACCAGAAACTGCCGCAGAATGTGCCGGAAACCGTTCTTCAATTCACCTGGGACGAAGCAAGGTGGGTAATCAAGAGTGACAGACGGACATAATCCTTCTGGCAGAGACGGCATTAAACCTGAGAATCTAAGGTCAGGATGAACTACCCGGTTCAAAGCTCTTGCCAAGCGATCTACCGAATGTTTCAGGCTGAAGAAGACAGTACAATCACATAAGTGCGTTTCTTCTACTAAAGAAAAATGAAGCTGAAGACTCGCAGAACCAGATCGCATCACTCTCCTGTCATAAATCCACAACGTCGTTCCCTGAATCATCCTCAACTGTGTTTGGAAAGATCTGAAACTGCTCACTGGTAAAGAACAAGTCCTCATCTTCGCCCATTCCCGGTGGACCTCGAAACAAGGTGTAAGCAGTTGTTGTAGTCGCGTGCCATCGATCTTGGAAATGTTCATTTCAACGTGTATAAAGAGCACTGCCCCACCACAGGCACTATCTTCGCTGATGGCGAATAAGTGAAGCAAGTCGCTAGCCACGTATCCCTCGTCAACTTAAAAAAACTCAACAGCTACGTCAGCAGAGGACCAGCAGAAGAAGGAAGGCGATGTGTGCAAGTTTCATTCACGGTAAAACATCATCGCTGGATAACAAACTGTCCATTTCCACGAAAATGGAATTGTTCGATTCCTCTGTCTTACCTGCCGTGATTTATGGCGAAGAGTGCTGTCCTATCACCAAGGCTGAGGTAAAGAAACTAGTATTGCCGTAAGTGGCGATGGAAAGAAGAACAATCTTGGTCTCATATCGAGATCATATTCCAAACGTTATAATTCGGTTTCGGACACGACTTTTGGACTCATTCACTGCCATCTACAACTCTAAAGTCGATGGGACGTGGTTCATCTGAAGGGAAACAAGTGGACATCACGAATTACCAACTGCCTGCCTTTCGATGACAGGCGTCCACTCGATGGTCCGCGTAAACCTCTGGCATGATCGAAGCTGTTTGGTCAATGGTTGAGGTGGTTAAGGGCACAACAGAGAGAAGACCGATGGAACATGTCTTGCATGTATAACTCTGTCACAGAGGAAAACAAATCGGATGGAAGGACTATTACTTAATCAGATAAACTTAAATAAAATTAGGACAGGGTCTGTTCTACCAAATCATTTGTTGTTTCTTCCGTGTGACACAGCAGTCTCTCTGAGAAAACAACAACTTTCTGAGTTGAGTCAAAACGATGAGGTCATGGTTCAACTTGTCATGTGATCGCCTTGCTAAATTATTCAACCGTTTATGTATTATAAAGGATTCATCATTTCGGATGATTCAGAGCTATGAAGATCGTTTGACCTTGCAGTGCTGCGGTTGCGATGGTGGCTGCGACTCCGGAACTCACTCCGTCAGTCAGTACTCGTATTCGACGATGTCGCCGCGCAACAGCGAGTCCATGTCGCCACGGTACTTGAATCACTTGCACGTGATCGAAGAAGACCGCGAGAAACTGAGGGCCACCAAGAAAAACAACCTGAGCACCGGTTCACCTCAATTATTGCCTGAACGAAAGTTTCCTTACAACTCTGTTCCCGAAATTGTTGTCGTCGGGCCAACATTCGACTCTGATGGCAACTGACTGCATGAATCCTTGATTAGGATCGAAGGACGGATTCAATGTAAAACAATTATGTAGGAAACAACGCGGCAACATCATTCGCAGACAAGTGCTATGCTTATCACTGAGGCTGCTGAAGGAATTGCTAGCATAATTTGTGTTTTATCGAAACTTCATTATTCCCGTAGCTTTCAGTGACGATGGCTTCACGCCATAAAATAATATATGGCGCATATTTTTATAAACTTGAACATACGAATGTTTTAACTTTGCAATTTTAATTAGTAAATCAGGTCCACTAGCCAGTTGCCAAACACTGCTAGACGTGTAAAAGCATTTCAACCGAAAATTGCTGCCCAATATTACGAAGGCAATGAAATAAATGCATGTAATTAACTAAATACATTCGATGATATTACTTACAAACTGCTGTTCTTGAAACGTTCTTTCCATCAATGTCCTCTTCAAGAATGACAGATTGCATGCAAAGTTCAGGTTAAGGTCTCAAGTAGTTGAACTGGTTTGGGTCCTCATGAAACTCGGATTTACTAGCTGAAACGTCGAGCGCACACTACAGCCGTCATCTCTCTCTGTACGCTTTGGCACTCAGCGAGAGGTTGCTGAATTGTGTTCCTAGTAATGCTGTAGGCAGCTTCGTTCGCGGGGATTTCGCCAATCTTACCACCCTGCCTGGCAACACAGACAGTGCAGTACGCAGTGCCTTAATATTGCGGTAAGAGGCTTATCATATCAGCCTGAGGATAATGTACGGATGAACTTGAAGACTCACGAATTCTTGTACTGCTTATCGCGTCGGCATTGCCAAACATAACGATCAATCC